TATTAATAAAATAATTATTTATCAAAATACAATTTAATTAGTAATTTATCAATTTATGTTGAAGTATAATTATATTTATATAATTTGCATAATTATCAATTTAAATTTATTGAAGTGAAGTAGAAAAAAGATAATGAAATATTTAAAAACTTATAAAAAATAAAACAAGTTATAAAAAGAATCTAAAATATATAAAATAGTATTAAAATATGATGTTTTTCAAAAAATTAACTCATATAATACTTGAATAATTAGAAATATTATAAATCAAATTAGTGATTATATATTTTATAATTGTAAAAACTTATATTTTACAAATATATGATTATTTAGAATTTATTAGCTTTAAAAATTATATTTATTTAATATATTTTCTGTTACTTACTATTAAGTAAATATTTTACAATTAATTTTTAATTATCAAAGAACCTATATATTCATTATATTACTTTCTTTCTTTTTAAATATTGTATTTCTATTTATTTATAATTTATTATTTCTTTCTTTATATATTTTTCTTCTTTTATTATTATATTTTTCTTTTCATTATTATATTTCTTTTATTCTTTTATTTTTTTTTATATTATTTTATAAATTTTTCTTCATTATTATTTTTCTTAATTTTTTTTTATTATTATTTATAACTAACTTTAATGATTATTCTCTTCTTTTATCTTCATATTTTACATCTTTTATCTTTATATTCAGTATTTTTTATCTTTATATTCTTTATCTTTCATGTTCATATATTTTATTTTTTAATTTTATCTATTGTATCCTTCTTCATATCCTTTATAATTTTTTTATTTTTATATTTATTACTTTTATTTTTTTTTTATACTTATTTTCTTTTTATTTTCTTTTATATTCCCATTTAATTATTTTTATTCCTTTTTTTTTATTTTATTTTTATTGTTTTTATTATTTTTCTTAAATTTCTTTTTTTTATTATTTTACTTATTATTTTTTTTTTTTATATCATTATTCATTTTAAAATTATTTTATTATTTTTAAGATAATTATTATATAGTTTTTATTATTAAAACTAAGATATCTATTTTTATAAAATAAAATACAATTATAATATATTTTTCTAAAGGCTGTTTTCCTAAATGAAAATTTTCCTAAAAATTTTGGTATAATCATTATAATATAGGTCAAACTTTTAGAAAATATTCATTTAGGAAATTGGCCTTCAGGATATTCATAAAATACTACTTTTATTTATAATATTAATCATTTTCATAGATCATTTTTCCGATTTCCAATCCTTTGTCAATATTTTCTGTTTCTAATTCTATTTTTCATTCTTATTCCCATTTTTAATTCTATTCTTGTTTCCATTTCTAATTTTAATTCCTATCCCTAATTTATAATTCTTCTAATATTTTCTTATTAATATGTCATATCTATTTTTAGATCAATAGATAGTTCAGATTTATAGGTTTTAAATAATAGCACTTACATGATTATATGAGACTTTTGCAATAGAAAGGAAGAAAACTGCCGGGAAAAAAATCAATTTTACTTTTATATACCAAATAATTATTTTTAGATCAAATTTATTTTTTCTAGCTGTTTTCCCCTTTTCTATTACAAAAGGTCCCATATGGGAGTGTTTCTAGAAAAATCAGGTTTCGAGAAATTTTTGACTAAAATTAAAAGCTTAATACATTTTAATCTAATAACATCAAAAACTAAAATGCAATAAAAATCTCAATTTCGCTAAAAAATTCTCGGAACCTAGCAATCAACCCATATGATAAAATCACATGATTTACTACTAACCTACGTTTTTTAGTGCATAACTAAATCTGGTAAATTCCTGGACAGCAATAAATAAAATCTTTTTTTAAACTTACCTTTTTAAGGGTTCCAATGTCCGATTTCGTAATTGCTTAAAAAAGCGGTAATGCCAGTCTAAAATATTATCCGATATTTTCCACCACTATTTTTTCTGTATGGATGTCATAAATTGATATAAAGTCAATATCAAATTAAGGTCGAATCAATGCAGTAAAGATGAGCTTAATGACTTTGATTCAATTGGGGGGCGGTCAGTAGAAAAGGAAGAAATACACTTTTTGATCAAAATTTTTTTATTGGTTCACTCTGCTGATCATTTGAACAAAACTAGCTTAATTAACTAAAATTACTCAAAATTTCAAAATTTGTAGATTTCCCCCTCCGCCCCCAATTATCATTAAATGATGGTAGTGATAATTTGTTGTTGATTAAATTCGTTAATTTTAGAGTTTCTGTATAGTTTATTGGTCAAAGGAAAAATAGCGTGTAACATTAAAAATGAGTGATAAATGAATGGTAAATTTTCCAATTTATTTGAAGCTTTGAATTTTCATTCATTCAATATAAATTACCAAGAAAAAGAAAACACATCATGTATTTTATCTCTCAGTTAAGAAATTCACCAGAACCGAATTTTCAATTATTTAGAATTCTTGCTCGTAGATAAAAGGAATGTTAATACGTAATTATGGTAACAATAATGATCAAAGAATCGGTATTTGCAAGACTATTGTAAATAAAGCATAATGTTGTAGAGCTGTTAAACTCGCAACGAAACAGCAAGGAAGAAATTTGGGACTACCTCAACAGAAATGCGTTTAAATAACGATTTTTTTTTTTTTTTTAAAAAAAAAAAATGAGTATTTATTAGGATGTTTATCACCATATTGATAAACCATTCCGTGAAAATCAAAACATTCTTTTCTTTCAGACTAATATGGAATTATCATATGGTCTTTGTGGAACTCTTTCGTTCCAACTAAGAATTTTACTTAATCCGCGAAACCAATCTTTATAAGGGCCTTCGCTGCAGATCGTTAACAAAGGATGCAATGACGCAGTCACCACTATTGAATCACCACGATCAAGTGAAATACGATTTCTTCCGTCGAAGGAGACCTTTATAAAAGAACTCTCCATTAAAAATATGGTATATAATTCGCAAGATAAATTTATTTTAATTTATTCATTATTACCCAACCGGTGATTCTACTCGTGGAAGGAACGCAAACACGTATTTCTTTAAATCCAGGAATAATCATCGGCCTCGCGGTAAGTGTATGTGGCGCAATAGGAGTTATCAAAATAGCATTTTGATCAGGATGAACGAGAGATCCCCCAGCAGAAAGCTAGATCATAAATAGATATGCAAAAAAAATAAAAAATGAAATATGAGAAATTTCTACGATAAAACTTGAGGAGATTATCTTACATACCGAATAAGCAGTAGATCCCGTACATGTTGCTGTTAAATAAAACAAACAAATAAAAAAAATAAAAGAATAAAAAATTATAAGAATTTTATATCAGGACCAAGTCCTCTTACCCAAAACAAGCCCATCGGCCCAAATCGATGTAATTTGGCAACCATCCAAAAACTTTTTTGAAAAAAAAAAAACATTAGATAAGCATTTAATATGTTCATTTGAGAAATGAACGTGATGAGAAACCAACCAACAAGATTTCCAACATGTTCCCAGCATCACCGCGGTCAATGCATAAATCGTTCAACACGTGGAAAATTTCAGGTGACTGTGAAATTTCTAAACCATCGACTCCTTCAATATTATTACTTTCATTCACCTTTTTATGATTCCTATAAATAGAACACTTAAGTCGAGATCTGACATTAACACGGACACCGCCGCCATCAATCACATTGCGTAAAACGCGCCGATGATTATTAAAATCAAATACAGTCAAGAAACCCAAAGATCCAAAATGAAACGATAACAAAGGCGGCATATCACTTTGAAACATCCAAGATGAATATAAAATTGTCCCATCACCTCCAAGAGTAATTATCAAATCTATATTATCCGATTTGACGTCATTTGCGTTCCAAAAATGAAGTTGACGTTGATATTCTTCGCGTTCAGCGATCATCTCAAAAACATTCATAAAATTACGATCAACGTAAACATGAATTTGATGATAAGATTCAATTAACCAGGTTGTTACTTCTCGAGTATAATTGGCTAGCTTTTGTTCAGGCTTTGTGATAATCATTATATGACGCATAATATCAAGTTGCACGATTCGTTCAGCTGTATCTCGAGTTTCATCTAGCATATTAATGTATCTAAAGGGAATGAATTGGTTTTAATCTCATGCTGCCGCTCCATTGAACGTAAAATTAATTACTCACCTTCTGATCAACGCTTTTGTGCTCAACGAATCTCGACCGTTAATTGTTTCCTGTTTTATAATGTAATAAAAAAAAATAATTAAATACAAGAATCTATCTAGGAAACTTTTTTTTTTTTATTACCGGAAGATCAAAAACAATTGCTTGAAACTTGAGGGTATTTTGATCATTTTTCGCCACGTTTTTCAAGATATTATTAAGAGAATCGTCATCTTGATATAAATGAATAGCATGAGATTAAAATCATGTTTATAGAGAGACAAGAATCATAAAAAAAATTACCTCTTTTCCATATGATCCAATCGTTATCCTGATCTTTCCATTCGATTTTGCACTTTTCCGAATCAAAAGTTTCAAATTCTTTTGAAAATTGATGCTTAACTTGATCAAAATTCAATTCATTTTCTGACACCAAAAAAGAAACATTTTAAACTTTTACATCAAATATTACTTGTATATCAGATATAGCGTCAAAACACACCTTTGATGATTACATAAGTAGATTCTCCTCGAAACGTTAGTTTTAAATTCAAACTTGCAGCCATTTTCTTACTGAAAAGTCTTTTTTTTGCGGTTTTTTTATAACCATTTGTTTACTAATAAATTAAATGACGTAATTTCGTAATCATCTTCCGTCATGAGAAAAATACGCCATATGATAAAACTTTATTGATTATTAAATAATGATTACAAGTAATTTTAACTAAAATAACCGATAAATCCGCAATCCGCAATTACGATATCCGAAGAACGGAGATCCTCCAAAAATCGTAAATTGGATTAATTAAAGAAATTCTTGGTCTAGCGAGACGAACATGAAAACTGCCTAAAGAACCATCGAAGAAATCCACTCTTGATCTGTTATAATAAGTGCGACGAATCCATGGTCTTGAATGGATGATAAAAATAATGTTCTTTAACGTTCTCATCAAGAGAAGTAGAAGATTGATTTTTCAACATTATTTACATTATTTGAAGGAATTTTCTGACTTTGTTCGTTGGCAGGGAACACAGGAATTAATAGTTCCTCTTGCCTTTCATAATTATTGTCTTTCGAAACAGATGGTTCCATCTAAATCATCCGGTAATGTATTTCAATATTAGTTCGCTCATCGCGTTGTGATGATTCAATTGATTATTTTTTATCGTTACTATTTTCATTTTCACTGACACTAGGTTCATCAAAAATATAATCATCTTTTTTGAAACAGGTATTCGCATCAGTTGAGGTGGCGGTAAATTCCTCCTTTCTTCTGCATCCCAACTGTTATTATCAGGATAATCTGCCGTATACACGTTAAATTTCACATTTCCACCAAACGATTCTTGATTAGAAAGAAATTGTGTGTAATCCTGAATCCGTTTAAGATACAGAAATTGCAATTTCACTAGGAATATCAAAGATATCATGTAATTGAGATCCAAGTTATGTTAGAAACAATGGTAATTTTACGAGAAATTTGCCCGTATTTTACTTCAACGCTAGCCATCTTTCTGATTTTAATTTAAAAGAAAAAAATTGTTGAATGTTTAATGAAAAGATTTCACCACCTACTTTTATAATTGTTTATTTCGCTTATATGACTGCCAAGAAAACCCTATTCCGATTTATGAAATTATTCTCTAGATAGCTGGCATTTTCGATTTTATTATTATAACAAAATGAAATTGCTAGCTTTTCAGCGGATATTAACTGAATCTACATCTTTTTTCCTACCAAAAAAAAATAAAATAAAATAAAAAGAAAAAAATATTTTATTAACCTAGATTTACTGCGGCGACAGCCGACAACACTCCATTATTTACTGCGGAATGGAGATTGTCACTTTCCGTATCATGACTTATAAGGGACCTACCTAGTATGTATCAAGTTGCAATTCAAAATAAAAAATTTTTTCTCCTGTTCAAAAGTATCGTTAAGGTGATTTTTACTGTATATATTTCATAAAGTATATATAATTCCACATATCGTATTGAAAGGAGCTATAAATAGTCAGATGTAAGTTCATTACGCAAGCTTTAATGTCGAATGCAACTAGGATAATTCAAAAGGGAACATTGGCATACGTACAACAAGAAGACTTCTAAATTAGTATGGAGAGGAAAAGAGCGAAGGAAAAATGCAAAGTACATGTGAATTTGCTGCGGAACATTCATGTGAGTGGCTTGGCTTAGTGAATCCTAAAAATTCTTAATACTTGTTCTTTCTTGTAAGGACGTGGGTTTACATGTGAAGTTGTTTAAAGAAATTCTTGTGTTTAAAAAAATAAAAAAGTTTAATCTTTTTTAATGAATGATTTTTGGTTGACTAAAATAGTTTTAGGTTAGGTATTAACTAATAATGATCATTTTTAATATCCGTGGCGATATGCCTAATTAAGACCATTCGTTCTATGCACCCGTGATTATCATTTGAAATGATTTGATCTTCTAAAGGATAAAACCTTAATGACTGAATCGAGTATAATTTTGTGAAGCTGCTTTGTAGATTTAAAAGGCAATTCCAAATGTTTATAACCAATAAAGTTGTTGATCCTTGCTTGGCAATGATGTTTAACCGTAGAAAAGTGTTCCTGAAACAAAAACAAAAAAAAAAAAAAAAAAAAAAAAATACAATCCATTATCCAAGATTGGATAGATCAAAATATATTTTTTTGTTTCAAGTTCCTCATCATTTTATAAGACAAATCAAAAAAGACATTACATTTAATTTATTGTCATGGGATTGGTTCTTATGCCTAAAATGTCATACAATAGATCATAAGGTCATGATTGGTCTGTGAAAAATTTGCTAATTTAAAAAAAAACATGCCTTGATAATGTCAATTCATTGGCTGAGCTCACCCATGACGCAGAGGGATCGACGCGTGCAACAATAGCATTTTTGTGATAAAAAATGAATGATCGGGGAAGGCAAGTAAGAAATATTTATCTTTTATCAAACTTCAAAGGATACACAATCCGTCCAACCAATTGATTATCCAGAGTGATCATTCATTCTCTCTTTGACTAAAAAAAATGTTTAGTTTTAAACGGAAAGCTGTATGCACACACCCGGGTTCATATAAGAAGAGAAACATCAATCAGAAACGGCCGAATAAAACAATTTATAAAAAAAAAAAAAAAAAAAAAAATTTGAATAATGCAGGATCCCAATAAGAGAAATAAGAAAAAAAAAAAAAAAAAAAGAAAAAAGAAAAAAGATACTTAAAAATTTTAAAATATATTCCATTTGATTGTCACAATACACTGCATATATCTTTCAATACCAAAAAATCAATTTAATTGTGCTACATCAGATGATTTCTTTGATAAAGTCTATTATATGGGAATTTTTTTACTGTTGAGGGTAACACTGAAATAATAAACAGGTTGTACCACCTTTTCGCTTTTCCGCATATTTGTAATATAAAAATTTTTTATATATATTTTTTCTTTGATCCTACACTATATAAACAGCTCTTTTGCACATCTTTAACGATAATTTCTTTCTCAAAAAAAAAAATTATTTCTCTCGTAAAATAAATAATAATAATAATTTTTTCCTTTAACAAACGTAACAACCAAATCCTTTGATAGAATTTATCTTTTTGCCTAAAACGCTTAAAACTTTAATTTGACCTTATAAACAAGATCGAGAGAAGAGAGTGCTTTACGACCTTAAAACTTATTCATTTTTATTCTTTTCACAATGTCAACTGTCGCCTCACAAATGAGACCCGAAGTTATTCGCTCACATACCTTTCCATCCAACTCGGCGCAAAACACAAGACGTCGTCGTAGAGACACTTTTGTAGAACGATTGCTCAAGGATCCTATGTTACAAACTATGGCCGATATTGGAAAACAAGAAGGTGCAATCAAACCGCTTCCTGCGCCGCAGCGCGCGAGAACCATAAATATTTCTGAATTTCAACAATATTATCGTCATTTTCAAGAGGGTAATTTTCATCAATATCTTAATACGATTCAAAGTAAGATATAATTGAAAAAAAAAAAAGGTTCAATATAAATATATATTTTATTATTCAACTTGAATACTACGGACACTTTTTCTTTTTCTTTTTTTTCCTTTATTTTTATTTTTATTTATCTTATCGTTTTTCTATTGTTATTTTTTTTTATAATGTATGGATGGTGTATCAAGGGGATATTTTTTTTTTTTTTTTTCTCTCATCATAGACAATATAATTTTTTTTTCTCATTCTTTGAAATCCTTTCTTAATGAGGGATGGATTTTGCACTTGTACATAGGATTATTTTTTTTTCTTCTAATTTACCTGTCATGGGACGCATCATAAAAAACATCCCAACTCTTTATTTTATTTGTCAACAAAGTATACGATGCTTTTTGATTTCTTTGTTACATTTTTTTTTTTTTTCCTTTTGAAACCTAATATCATAAATAAAGATATTTTTTTTTCTTTCGAAAATGTTACATTGTGGGATTATCAATTGACCACGTTCTCGTGATTGGCGTTCATTGGCGAAATTTCTTTATTTTAAATAACGATCGATGATTGTCGTTGTGTAAATCATTTATAAAGTCGGAAATTTCCCCCGATAAGTGAAAAACCAAAATGTCTATAATTTCAAGGCGGTAGGCGGCCGAGTCAAAATAAAAAATTGAACACCATGCAAATATCTGCTCCAACTAAACCGTAACTTTGTCCCCAATCTACCCAATTGCGTCACGAAAAAAAAAAAAAAGACCATATGATCGGATTTAAGGTTCATAATTTGTATAATTTTAGGTCGGATTTCCCATTTATTTCTCTAGCAAGGAATATTAAAATTTTCTAAAGAAAAAAAAAATAATGTTTATGCAATCTTTGCCTGCTGACGCGTGAAAAAAAGAAAAAAAAAAAGCTCATGTGTTCAATTTTGAATCGATGAGCGATTTTTTTTTTTTTAATTAAAACTTTTTTTACTATTGTTTTAAGAAAGAAAAGCGAACAATCATAAATCATAAAGAATTTTGAAGTTTCACTTGACCCACCTAACAAGTTCATCATCTAGATATGATATCTTTTTTTTTTTTTTTGTGGGGAAAAAATACTTATTTGCTTGGGCTGAACTAGATAAAGAGAAATTGATAGGTGGGACACATAAAACTCGATGATTCACATGATTTTGTGAAAACGAATTTATTTGTGTAAAAAAAAATAAAACAACAATGTTTTTAAATAAATCTGTGACATTTTTTGTAAAAGAATATAGTCATAATTTCGACAAAGAGTAAATAAATTACAAATCAAATTAACAAAAATTACAAAACCTTCTTTTTTTTTCAACTTGGCAAATTAAGATGTAGTAAACCAAACCTTGATAAAGATGAAATTTCCAAATCTTGTATAGTATGGGAAATCAAAACACCAATAAACTCTATGAAGCATCGATTCGAAATACAAAAAAAAGCCTTATTACCAAACTATCAGAATCACATAAAAGGTTACTTTGATGTAAAAAGATATTAGGAAACAAAAAAAAAATCTGCTCACGCACCTTTCGCTTCTGATACCAACATGGTGAAACATTAGTCGGTAAATACTCTCACGAACATCTCACGGATATGTAAATATATACATCTCAATAAATATATATTTATAAAACCTTGTCAGTCAGTTAAATTTTTTTTATGTTATTGTTACATAAAAACCCGAAACATCATCCCAATTTATTTATTTTATTTACGTTTCCGAGATTTCCGAAATTATGTCCGTAGTCATGGATTTACCGCCGAACTGCATATTTGCAACACCAACATGTACCTGAGATCTTTTATTGTCTTTTTGCAAAAAAAAAAAAAAAAAAAAGGAAAAAAAAAATAAATGAAAATGTTTTGTTAGAGAAGATTGAGCGCAGCGATTTGAGGTGACGGGGATAAAAAAGCAAAGGTGGATTTTCTTGTTCCAGAACTGTTTCCGAAACCTACTCCCTGCAAATTAAGGAATCCATCCTTGTGTACTGTGTAAAGGTAAATAACATGTCGGTATCTGGATAAACAAGATATGAAGACGAAAAAGGGTTTTTCCAGTTTAAATAGATGGGAAATTAATAAATGCTGATTTGGAATATGTATGCATACTCTACTGATGATAAGAAACTGTCCTAGCCGTTTCTGTTAAACTGAAAGATTTAAACTGTTGATTTCATAATCTTTACTGCGGTATTATATTAAGTCCATTGATTAACAACGGAAGGAAATGTGTTTTTTTTTTCCCCGACCAATATAATGGATGTGACCAATCTTTAAAATTTTCGCATTTTATCAAAGAAAACCGTTATATGAGAAATGAAAAACATGCATGATAACAATAGTAAACGTGGCAATTATGATTAACAAAATAACATAAAATGTGTCCCGTATTAAATGGTAAACAATGTGTAAAATTCCTGCTGCTCTTCACAGCAATCAATATACTCCATCTTGAAACATTTACAATAAAAAGAATTTTGAATCTTTTTGAAACTTGAAACTTTACTATGGTTGTAGATCATTGTTTACTTTAACATATGATTTAAATTAATTAACCAAAGGTTACACACCCATTTCCTTTACCTGCATTCATACTTATACATGAATTGCGCCCAAAACCAATTTAGAATTGCAAAGATTTTTAGGAACCTAACATATTTTTTAAATTTTAATGAACTACTGTAATTAGACATCATAGTATAAATTAATTTATTTAATCCACACAAAATAAATTTGATGCACAATCCGCAGGTCAACGAGAGATCCTTTTTTTTGTTTACCTAGGGATTGTCACTAGTGGTTTATTTTCTTTATTTATAAGTTTAATTTGATTGGAAATTTATTTTTATGAAATTAATATAATAAATTTTATTTAAATTTTAAGCACATTTGTTATAAATTTTCGACAAATAATTAACGATGAACGATATGTGAAATACAAATTTGCTTAATAAAGTTTCTAATTAAGTGTAATGATCCCATGCGTTTCAAAGATACAGTCTGTCAGATCAATTAGTTTTTCGAGTCAAGGTAGCACGAAAATTTTTAAACAACAAAGTTCCGACTTTTTAACAATAAATCGTATAGCGACAAAAAAAAAAAGATTCTTTTTATTAAAATTAAATTTCAATATTTTGATAATGGACCCCCCCCCCTTTTTTTATCAAATGACTGAAAATTCAGGAAAAAATAATAATAATAAAATCTCATTTAATTAAAAAAATTATTACAAAACACATGGTGGTGTATTCTCTTCGACTTCCATTACTTCCATTGATTGTTCACTTTCATCATTATCCTTTCTTACTTCTTTTTCCTTATTTGTTTCCTTTTGTTCGTTTCGTTGATTTAATAAAACCTCAATGATGTGTTCGAGATTTCCATTATATTTCTTTACTAATCCTTCCAAATTATCCTCAACAAATCCCATCGTATGCAATACGTTTACCTTTTCTGCTACAACTTCTGATGAAATTTGTTGATGTCTACGATAGCGTCTACCACAACCGTAATTATGAGAAGCGGTGAATCTATTACATCCTCTAGAGTTGTTGCAATTCGGTTGTGTATTTCCACGACGGGATCTTTCACCAAAGGTGTAATAATATGGATTGCATCCACTGAGTCTTTGAGCTCCACAATGAGCACGACGTCTATGTGACCAAGGATTACTGGCGATAATCACAATAAATTCCGAATCATCGTCAATATTTACTTGATCGTCTTTAGATTGGTTTTGTGTACCGTTGTTGGTAGTTTCGGCGGCTTTTTTTGAAGTCTCTCCAGGAATTTCTTCTTCATGTCTGTTATCATTATTTGATTCTTCAATTTGAATGGCAGATACACCATTAATTAAACTAAAAGTTTCTTCGTCTATCATGATATCGTGATTCAAATGATTCCCATTTGACGTGGTTAAATTGAATTTGATCGTATTATTATTGAAGGTATTAGAAAGAACTTCTTGAAGTTCTATATCACTCGAAAGTGTAATAGTATCGCCTTCCTCATCAGTATAAGTAGTTACGATGGGAACGTTTTGAGGAATATTAAATAAGGTATGCAATTGAGATTCGAATTCCGACCAAGTCGTGATAGCGGAAATGCCAAGACGACGAGCAATTGTTCCAAATTTTACTTTAATATTTACCATGTCTAACCCTATTTTTCTGTTATTTCTTTATCGATTGTGGTTATAAATACAAGTGAATTAAACTGTCGAATATTATTATTTCAACTTATGATGAAAAAAAAGATTGTATAAATACGACGAAATATTTTTTATCTTTATTTTTATTGCCATCCCCTTTATATGTTTTCTCATGTAATTACGTTGTCATATTCGTAAGCAAAATTGGCATTTTCCAGCTGATGATGTAAAATAAATCATATTATTGTATGAATAGATTTTATCCGCTATTACTTTTTCAAACTAGATTATTACGACTTTTTGTTTGATAAAATAGGTAATTTAATTCAATGATACGCAGCCGCAGTAAATCCATTCGGATAAATTTCGGCAAAAAGCCAAACCTACTAGTACAATCCACAATGTTCCGTCATTAAAATTTTTGGAATCAGTGCTTACGAAAGCGGTTATGAAATTGGATACGTTGGATACGTAAAATACGTATTTACAAGTACGTGGAATTTAAAATGATTACCAATCTAGCGCAGCGAACATTTGAAAAAAAACTATAAAATGCCTCTGAAAAATTCTTGGAGTGAAAACTACCCAACATTCAAACTAATTCTTTTTTAAAACAAAAAAAAAAAAATTTAAATAAACTTTTAAAAATGGAAACAATTAAAGTCACTTACAACTCGATTTCTCGTCGTTTCAACATTGACACTTCAACAACTTGGACGGAATTAGAATCTAAATTACGTTCACTTTATAAAATCCCAACCACAACTTCTCTTAACGTCTCTTACACTGATGAAGACGGTGACGTGATCACCCTTTCAAGTGATCTGGAATTTAAAGAAGTTCTTGCTCAACAATCCTCCGGTAGACCTATAAAACTTGTCTTGAACACGGCTAATAACAATGAAAGTTGGGTTCTTGAAGGCGGAAATAACGAAAGCGAGTCTAACGTTGAAAATGAATTGTCGAGTGAAGATATTAGTAACAATTTGAACCTTTTTGAAGATTCTTCTTACTTGGCAGAGGAGCAACAAATTACTGAACGTGAAGAAGAGGTTAAGCACATACCAACTTCTTACTATCGACATGTCTCTCTCGAAGAAGAAGTAGAAGAAGAGGAAGCAAAGGCTGCAAATAAACAATCTATCCCTTTTCTTCGTAAAGAAGGTAAAGAAGAAAAGGAAACCGGAAAACAGAAACGTTCCGAAAAAACAAAAGACGCTGAGACGCAAGCAAAAAGTGATGATGATGATGATGATGATGATGACGAAATCATTATCATAATTTCACATCCATGGGCTCGTCCAAATTTCTTTGGGTCTATATTTGGGTCCTTTGGAGGTCCAAGATTCGGATTATTTGATAGACCTTATTTCGGTTCCGAATCGTTTAGTCGAGGTCCATTCCGTGGTTCCATTTATAATCCTTGTAATTCTTATGCATACGGTCATCCACAATTTTATCGTTCAGCTTTTTTCAATAAATGTGGAGGCCCGTCAACTTATTATTTCGGTCGTCAAAGTGATTCATGTGGACACAAATTCAAAGCCTGTAATAAAAGCCCAAAACAACAATCGGATGCAAGCGATAAAAATGCTGAAGCTTCAAGTTCCGCATCTGCAAATAACGGATGTGATAAGAGTGATCGTAACCGTGATTATAGATCAAAACCTTCTTGCAATCGAAATTTTAACTTTTTCAATCCTCGATATTACAACCAAGCACCGTTTACTCAAGAACAATTAAAAGATAAACTCGCAACTTTACATTCCATGGGATTTAATTCTTCAAACGATGCTTCGTATGAAGATTTATTGAAACGTTATAATGGAAATCTTGAGCGTGTTATTGAATTATTGTTACGCGATCAACAATTTAATGAACACGAAGCTTCTGCCAATGCATCAAAAGGACCAAAGGGAATTGTTATAAATGACGAAAATGCGCAAAATAAATTCAATGACGAAAAGAATGCCGAAGATGTTAATGAAGAGAGTAAACCTTATAGTTTGTAGATCGAAATTACTGAAAAGCGTCAAAATTACTAGTAGCTAGATATCTTAGACTTAAATTTTTTATTTATTTATTATTTTTTTTTTTTATTATATTAAATATAAATATCCTGTTTCATTATTACACGAGTTTAATAAAATAAAATTGAAAAAAAAAATTAAAAATTAAAATATTTTTTTTATATACATAAATTCGTTTACTTTAAAGATATACTACTAACATTGGTGTTAACATTTAATTAATGTCAGTTCTTTGCGTTTGTATTTATAAACAATTTAAATGTAGCAGAAAGTTGTTAATTGTAAAATTATTTTATAAATTAATTTAACAATCAAGTGTTGCCCTCAATGTCGGCGCTCTACACTTTCGAAATTACGTCCAATGATGCCGATCCGTAAATGCTAATAAAAAAAATAAAAAAAAAATCAATGGTGGTCGTTATATATATCCAAATGAACATGATAAACTCTGAAGAAATATATATATAATAAAATTTTAACTGATCTTCAAAATCTAACTTAACTAATCGTTCTGTGGGAGGAATTATACTCATTGTAAAAAACGCTTCACTTTTAAAATTAATTAATGATCCTGCGTCACCTGTATGTATTTTCTTATTCTTACCTTAGTTCGTTATCTACAAATTATAATACTGCTCTTTCGTTTATGTATTTTATAAACAATTTGTATTTGTAAGCCGCCGAAGAAGAAAAATTGAAGTATGACGATAAATTCGCTTCCTATGGTACCCCTGATATAGTACCCCCTTGATTAGTATCGGGGTTATATAATTCAACTTTTTCTTTGATAACGTTATTAATATATTTGAATATAACAAGATTTTGGAAACATTTTATAATAAATCTTTTAACAATTTAATCGTAAAAAAATAAGATTGATTCTAGCAAAATCATAAATGATCAGAAAATCAAATAAAAAATCCTAACCTAAAATGAAGGAACATATAAAGTGAAAAAAGATAAACCAAATTACAAAATAAAAAATACATTAAATCAGAAAAAAAAATATCTGACATTGCACGATGCGATTAAATCCAAAAAAAACTTATCTAATCCTTTCGAAGTGATACAACTCAGAAAATACCAAGCAAAGAGGAACTTAATTATTAAAAATGAAATAAAAAAAATAATTTTCATTCGATCTCTGCGGTCCGAAGCGAAGAAAAAAAATGCTAAATTGCTATAAAGGAAATGAAGGATGAGGCATCATAGATCATAAAATGTAGAATTTATGAATATGTAAATAATTTTTTACTTGAAAATAATTCATGTTTTTTTGTAAAAAAAAAATTTTTTTTTGGTATTGTTCGCGTTCAATTTGTGATTTAAAAAATCACTACGCATAATAAAATCGATTATAACCGATTCTACGTTTTGAATCATTACAATCCCTATTATTAATCCCTTTTGCAGAAATATTCGTTGAAGCGAGAAATCCATCTAAGTGTATCCTTGACTAGGTTCTTGAAACAGAAAAGTGGTTATTATGTATAGCAGATGATGTATAGGGAGAAAAATTTTTTCGCAACGAGACTGAGCAAGGAAAGCATGTTATGAAAACTAAAAATCTTTAAATGTTGCTAATTCAAAGCCTCAGGACTACTTCTGGATGATATTCCGAGTCAAATTAATTCCTTAATTAGGTAAAAACACGGATGATCTGTATTATTTGGCAAATTTTAATATTTAAGGATACAATAATTTATGTATAATACAGAAATTTATTTTTACAAGCTCCCGAGTTACTAGATCATAATAAAAAAATATTTGTTATTTTTCAAATAATAAAAAATGTAAAAGCTATTTATAGTTAACTTAAAAACTTTGTAGAGATAATATCAATAGTTACTAGATAGTAAAAAATATGAAAACACTAGTCAGATTATTTTTATTAAGGGAATAGCAAAATATAAAAAGCTTTCATGATTTAACATTTTAAGTAAATATAAGGTTTAAATTTATAAATTTTAAACTTATTTAATTAAATAAAGCAGAAAATCTAATATAACTATTATAAATTAATTTATTATATAGATTTGATTTTAAATTAATGAAATATATTTTATAAATTAATTAAAATATAATTTTTATTTTTAATAAAAATTTTTTTAAAACAAAAAAACTTTTAATTATAATTGTAACAAAACAACTTAAAAATCATTTATGTAATTATCGATAATTTTAATTAAAAAATTATTATTATTTTATTTAAAATATTATATGAGTTACAGTCCCTAGTGAAAAGAATGGTAGTGTAATCTTTTATTATATAATTAACTTTTTTTAAAGGAGTTGTATAAACAATTATATAGCATTTTATATGTATTACTAGTTTGAATTCTATATGTATTATTTGAAGTTCGCAATGCATATTTTAATATGAATAAAATTTTTACAATCATGAAATAAGAACAAATTTGAGTATTTGATCATTAAAATTAAGATTACAAATAATTTTACTATGTTAATAAGCTTCACTTACTAATAAAAAAATGTTTAACTAAATGTTTTACAATAGAAATAATATATTCTAACTAAAAAATAGGAAATAGAAAGCATAAAGTTAAATTAATATGAAAAAAGATTAACCTTCTAATTTTTTAGTATTTTAACTTATATTTAAATCCAAATTGATAGAGAAGAATACTTTTTATATTTTAATTTTTTGAATGTATAATTTCTTAATCAAAAGCATTTAAGAATAAAAATAAATTTTGAAAGTTATTTATTAAAAACTTTATGCTATTCTTTTTGTTAAATACTGTAGTATATATAAAAATCATCTATAAAATTTTTTATTAAAATTGAGATTTTTTATTTATATAAATTATTATTATCTTATTTATTTATAGTATAATTTTTATAGCTTATTAACTTAATAAAATAATATAAAATCTAAAATCAAAGACAAGTTTTATAAAAGGGTAAAGTTTTTTTTTAGTGAATTTAATTAATAAACTAATAATTATTTATCTTATTCCTTTTTGTAAATGTTAGAAGCTTGGATTATTTGAATTAGAGATAAGTCCTATAAAGAGGAAAAATAAATATTAATAAATTAATAAATCATTTAAATAATAATTTATTTACTTATCTCTTTTTATTTTATAGGTGCTAAAATTATTAGTATTGATTGAATTAGAGGTAAATCCTATGAAGTAAAAAGTAAAATTTTTTTTTAATCAATTAAAAAATTAAACAAATTAATAATTACTTATCTTTTTCTTTCATAAATGTTAGAATCTTTAAAATTAATTAGATTATGATAAATCCTATAATGAAAAAAGAGTAAATATTATTTTATTTAATTAAATTAACAAATTAAATAAATTAATAATATACTTATCTTTTTCCTTTTTATAGATGCTAGATTAAATAGATCAGAGGCAAAATCATATGAAGAAGAAAGGTAAATATTAATAAATTAATAAATTATTTAAATTAAACAAATTTATTTCTTTTTATTTTATATATACTAAAAATCTTAGTTTAATCAATTGAAGACAAATCTTATAAAAGAAAAGGATAAATATTTTTCTAATTAATTAAATTAATAAATTAAACAATTATTAATAATTTGCTTATCTTTTTCTTTTTTATAATGCTAAATTAATCAGATCAGAAGTGAATTCTATAAAAATAAAAGATAATTTTTTTAATCAATTAAATTATAAATTAATAAATACTTATTTTTTTTTTGTAAATGCTAAAATTCTTAAATTTATCAGATTAAAGATAAGTTTTATGAAAAAAAAAGGCAAATTAATAAATTAATAATTGCTTATCTTTTTCAAAGAAAAAAGGTAAATATTTTTTTATTTAATTAAATTAACAAATTAAACAAATTAAAACTACTTACTTTTTCTTTTTATAGGCATTAGAATTCTTAGATTTATCAATTCTAATTTTTTTTTATTTTTAAATCATGTTTTTTATTATACAGAGAGTTATCAAAAGTTTCTGAATACTATTTTTATAATGCGATTAGTATATATAAAAGGTAAAGTTTATATACATTTATGTTAGTTTATTTGTTTATTTTGCTTTAAATAACATTTTGACTTCAAATTTCTCTTTTCACTTTTTTTTGCAACTTATGACTACAACTGCAATAATGGGAATAAATAATAAATTAACTGCAGAGTAACGTGATGTGATAATTTATTATCATAAAAATGGTAATTCACTTAGCCTGCCTAAAGCCCAGACCTTAATCCAATTGAAAATTTATGGGCAGAAGTGAAAAAAAAATATTAGAAATAAAAAGAAAAACTAACTAGCTTTGCTGATCTTAAAAGGAATGTTAAAAATGCATGAAAATCGATTCCAAAATGTGTAATTGAAAATTTAGTCAATAGTATACTAGCACGAATTCAGGTGGTGATTGTAGCAAAAGATAGTCCAATTAAATACTAGTTTAATAATACAAAATGTAGCCTTTAATACCCATAAAATAAAGTTATAATATAGATTTTTTATTGAGTTTTAAAAATTAAAAGTTTTATATTACATAAAAAATTGTTTGAAACTTTTGATAATCCTCTGTAATTATTTTATTTTTTTGTAAGAATAATGTTAGTTAAGTTATTATTACATATATAAATAAATTTTTATTTTTAAAATTTTTAATTGATTAAAGACCAAAAATATATTTATATAGAATTCTGAACGAGTCAAGTTAACTCACGAGTCAGATAAGCTGAGTCGAGTTTAAATTGAGTCGAGTTTATATTTTTTTGACTCGATGATTTGTGAGTCAAGTCAAATTCAAGTCGAGTTAAATATTTAACTCGACTCGATTTAAATTCAACTTGATTTGAGTTGACTTGAGTTGATTTGAATGATATATTTTTATCGTTCAAGAAGAACAATGATGAATCATTCGACTTAAATAATATTTTTTATCATTCAAGAAGAATGATGATGAATCATTTGACTTGAATGATTTTTTTTATCGTTCAAGAAGAACGATGATGAATCGT